TTATTTCTTTGTTTCTAAATTTCTAAATATTTTTGAACTCAGATATAATATTTTTTTATATAGCAAAATACAGAGGAGAATATAGAAATTTTTTAGTAGTTAAAAAAAAATAATAATTTTTCATACGTCGAAAGAAAAATAATCTACCTAGATTCATTCTTAAGGGATGACTCTTTACGAAAAAAAAAGGAAAAAATAGTTTAGAGGAAATAATTTTTGTTTGCTGAAAAAAGTTATTCTAGTTATTTTGAGAAGTAAAAATTGTAATTTTTTGCACACCAAAATAAAATATTTTTTGAAAAATAAATTCAATTTTTTGTCGGAAAATGATTTATTTTTCAAGAAATATTGATTTAATATTAAAAAATATGAAATAATGTTAGTACAGAAAATTTTATAATATTATAAAAAATTTTTTTGAAAGAGAAGATTCAAAAAAATTGTCTTTATCGACATTTTGTACATTGTTTTAGAGTGGGTATAAAAAGAATGACATCAATTAGCCGGAAATCGCCATTTAGTATCCTACATCCGAGGTATCTGTATGACATAATTGCTTGTCTCTTCTTTCTTTAACGTTCTTCTTTCTAAATAACAGTAAGGTAGAGTCAATCAGCATTAGATACATGCATTGGCACCATTCTCTTTATATCCACTCTACGTCTCTCATAATATCTTTGAAGTCCGCCTCATTATCCGAAGCTTCTCTATAAAATATTTTGGTTCCTCGTGATCTTAAAAGTCGTTTAATTTCTTTAACATTGTTACATGTTTTTTGTAGTTTTAGCATCGTAGATCTGCACTCCCTCTCTAATCTACAGCTACTTGAAATTTTAATTATTTCTTGAAAGATCCACGATACACGAAACGGAAAGTTAATAATAACAGATAAATTTATAAATGTGTATAACACATGTGTATAAAACACACACACATTTATAAATTTATAATTATTAAGAAAATTTATTTTAATAATGGAATAATACCAAAATAAATTTTATTAATTTTTTTTAGAGAAAATATGTAGTGTAATATATATATATATTATCGTAATTGGGATATGACTAACCATATTGTTTATGCCGAATGAAGAATTTATTATCATATCTTCATCAACAGCTCTGATAAACGCATTTAGAGTACCATTTATTTTCAGGTCACTTTCTAAATATATATTCGGTATTAATGCATCAATTTCCTAACGAAGTACGTCATTAAGAAAGAAAAGAATGCAGTTTCACATCAAGAAACTTTGATAAACCGATAATAAGAGATAATATGAGATTTGAAAAAATTACTTCTGTTTTTATTTCATCAAAATTGAATTTAAATTTACCATATTTATAAACTTACGAATCCAAAGGTGGAATATAAAATTCTGAAAGTCCTACCAAGATAAATTGATTAATTAGAGTGAGTGAGTGAGTGAGTGAGTGAGAAAGAGAGAGAGAGAGAGAGAGAGAGAGAATCCATAATTTAAAATAATTTTGTTTAAAGTTTTGATTAAAGACTTTATCTTATACTTGTTTTAAGTAAAATTTAAATATTTTAGTTTATCTTATTTTACTATAAATTTACGTTATTTTATAAATTATTTTTATTTTACGTTATTTTATTAATTATTGCATATAAATTATTTACAACCTATAAGTTACAACAATAAAAATTTATAATGAAAAAAATTGTACTCGTACCTTTTACGATTAGTTGCCATTTTTCTTGTAAACTTTGTTTAAACAAGTGTAGTAATCATTTGAATCTCGTTTGCATGTAACTGGAGCTAAATAGAAAGAGAATGAAATAAAGTAAAAATATAAATAGTAAAAATATAAAAATACATAAATTAGTTTAACAAAAATATTTAATTTAGAATAATTAAGATAATTAGGATGTACAATAATTACTTTTTTATCAAGTATATGTGTATTATCAGATGTTTAAGTTGAGAAGAGAAAATATTAGAACTATAATTCGTAAATATAAATGTAAACCTTACTTTTTTACAAAAAATCTAAATAAATATAATTTTGGCTTGTTATACAGGTTTCATAAATACATGTACTTTAGAAGATAAATCTATACACTAATATAAGTAAAAAAACGTCATGAACATATATCCTACCTTAGTTTTCAGGTTACAGATGATTAAAGAAAATGTTCGAAGTATGCGCCTCGTACGTCAACACACGTTACTTCTCGTCTTAGCATTGAATCCCGCACTCGTTCAAAAATACTAGGTATTCTTCGAATAGTCTTAAATCCATTTCGTATTCTAACTCGCAGATTATCCGCATTATTTACTTGAACACAACAGATTTTAAATAGCCCTAAAAATAAAAATCTAATGGATTGAGATCAGAGGAGATCGTGATGGTCATAGGGTTCCATCTCGCCTATCTATCGATTTGCGAAGGTATTGTTTAGGAATGTTCTCACTTCAAGATGAAAAAGAGACGGAGCTCCATCGTGCATAAATGGTCATAGGTATATCAAATGCACATCGATTATTTTAGCATAAGTATACATTATCATTTTGCCACTTTTATGGTCGGTTTGTTCCATCTTTAGAATTATATAATATATAACATATATAACATAATTTACTTATTGGCTAAACAAAAGAATAAAAGGATAAGAACATGGGAGAATAAGATAGTAAATTGAAATTTACAGAAAGGTGAAACAATTCAGCCTTAAAAAACAGTATTCAGAACAGTAATTCGCGAACATAAGATAGGTTGCTTAAAATTCTGTTCGATTTATTGATGGATATTATTTATAAGCAGATAACGTCAAGACTAAAATGTACAATAAAATGTGTGTTGATACACAAGATGAGCATTTCGAACATTTTCTTTAATCATTTGTAACTCAAAAACTAAGATATGTAGAACATATTTTCATATATGATGTTTTTTATTTATTTTAATGTATAGATTTACCTTCTAAAGTATTGACATATATTTATGAAACACCCTGTATATTCGTAGATATAGGAGAAGTTAAAGAGAAGTTAAAGATAAGAGAAGTTCAGGCAAAGCGAACGCTCTGGTCAAGGCGAATATTTTTTATTTTCTATCAGAGATAGTGTCATGAGTCTCTAACTGTTGAAAGAATAAAATCGATCGGCGACGCCATGAAAGTACAAAACAACATATGATTCGTTTATGTTTGATAGAATAATAAAAAAAATTGTGTATTTTCTTGCAATTTTTGTTACGTAGTTTAATTATAGTAATAACTGTTTCTTAACTAGTGTGAATGATTTTTTATAAAAATTCTCTGACTTTAAATGTGTGAAGTTAAAATTTTGCACTTGTTGCTTAAACTTAGTCTAATTTTTCCAAATTTGCCAAGTAGGTTCTTTGGGCGAAGTGGATAGGAGCAAAGCGAATGGCCCAGTGTGTGGTTGCACTGAAAATACCAGAAACACAAAGGGACAGACGATCTTTCAAGTGAACGAAAGGCTGTTTATATCTCATCTTTTTTTCTACAATGCAGTATGATACGTATTCTGAAGAATACCGACTCATTGTCCGAAGACTAGATTCAGTACACCAAATGAGCTCATGAAGGTTGCACTATATATAAAAGATTTGGCAGCTACTAACTTTGTGACGCTTGCTAAGATTAATTTTAATTCTTTTTATTCCATTCTTATTGCTCGAGGAACTGATGCTTGTCCAGGGGAGTCGGACAAAGCGGATGATTTCTTTTTATTTACGTTTTGATTAAAAAAACATTTAAATGTTCAAATTTTATAATTTTATTTTATTTCAAAGTTGATTCCTAAAAAAAAATTATGAGAATAAAAAAGGTTTCTAATCTTAACTATGTCATTTTAACTCGTCATTTTCCTTTCCAAAGAATCTTAACACATCCGTTTTGCCTGGATTTCCCTATATCATAATTTCATATTTGAAATTATTATGTTACCATAATAGTGATTTTGTATAATGAAAATTTATGTGATTAAAACAATTAATATATTCAAGTTAACGTATAGTAATTCCGTAATATTTTTTTTAAAAGATACATGTGTACTGAAGAATTCTTTTTAAAAAAACTTACGAAGATCTCCCGCCGAGGATAATCCAATCAATGTTAAATAGACTAAACACATAGAAAAACATTTTCTATGTATAATATATCTGCGAATAATGCAATTGATTCTGCGAACTGAGTTACACTGAAATCTTGTAATAATGGATCTTGAAAATCTTGAAGTGTTATATAAATCCCTTTTACTCAGTAGCACAGCAGCGTTTGCAAAGTGTTAAAAAAGCGATTATATGCGTATTTTAGCGCTTTGTTAGCAGTGTGGGTATACATTTGAGTAGTGTGAGTAGCAGTGGAATCGTGGCTTCCAATACGGTCTTGAATTACATAGTTTAGAAGTAAAAGATGCATAACTTCGTTCAGATGCACTCTATTATGAAGTTTTAATGTATATATAATTTTAATTTACATTAAGAGTTTTACATTAAGAGTTTAGTATCATATATAAATCATAAGATCAGCTAACACTAATTAGTTGTATCAAAATCTTAATCTTCTTTTATGCAAATGTTCTTTGCTTTATATGCTGTCGTTAATGTGTTTACACATCTGGTGCATAAAGAGAAAAACAATTGTTTAATAATTAATTCGTGTTGTTAATATTAAAGATGAAGTAAATTTATATAATTTACTTAGAATTCTGTATAAATTATTATTTTTATGCAGAAAAATCGTAAATTTCAAAAGCTGAGAAGTAATTAATATATAAATAGAATTAAATTTTGAGTTTAATATAATTTTTGTGTTAAAATTTAATTAAGTTTCACATTTAAAAGAAATATACTTATTATTTTATTGTGAATTTAACTCTTAATAGAACAAACTCATCATTATATAAATGTATGAAGTGGAAAAAATGATTATTATTTTCATAATTTTTTTACTACATGTGTAATATTTTCTTATTGATAAGAGTTAAAGACAAATGATAATTACATCAATTTATATTTTAACATATATATTTATTTTGCTTTCAAATAATAATTTAAAAACAAAGATTAATACAGAATTGTAGAGAAGTAACTTATTCTCTAAATCTGAATCAATGGATAACCACTAATTATCTATTTAGCACTGATAATTAGTGAAATTCAAAAAAGAAAGAATGTTTGAGCATTATAACTAAAATACTAATTTGCACGTTAATTTCAATTTTTCAATATCGTTCATTGAATTTAAGCACTAAAACAAGATTAATTAGATCATATAATAAAGATTAGCTAGATTAGGGATCTCATATTTAATTCACTGATTACTAGTGACACTGATATCAGTGATTATTCACTGATTCAGATTTAGAGAGTATATATGTTTGCGTTTAAAATTCTGAACATTCTTTATTTATAAGATATTTGTGCTCTGACTTATATAATATATAAATTTTTATGGAAATATTTTTGAGAAGGATACTTTCGAGAAGAACTTATTTGCAAAGTCAATCAAAAGCAATTCTATTCTATCGAACAAAGATGACCTTATCACTGGATAAAGCCTTAGTCAATTCGTATTTACTAAATTTACGACAGCTGAACATCAGCTGAAAATAAAAATTGACATATAAAATGACAATGATAATGATTTTCAGAAAAAAATCAATTAGAAAGATAAATATAATTACAATATATGTAAATATAATTGTAATTAATTTTGTTGTAAGATTTTATGTTTGCAAAAATAGCAACAATAAAAATATTGCGATGAAAAATGATTTACAAAATATGATTTATATTGGTAAAATATGTACTTTTAACTTTTATCTTATTTTAAATCAGTGATTATTTCGTTATTATAATTTGAAGAATGCATAATTATATTAATTGGAGTTGGAATTGAAAAAGGGTAAACATGGTCAGTGATAATAGGCTATAATATTGCTATAAATATAAGAAAAATATTAATCTCATTACTTGATGGGCGAACTATATATGTACAAATTATGGATTATTAATATTTAATAAATTATTCTAGATAAACTTTTATCAAAGAGCAAGAGAATTTTGTATGTAATATAAAAAATATACTTATCGTTAAATAGGAAATCAGATATGAATCTTTGTTCAGGTAATTTAATTCCCATTGGACAATACAATAATAAGCGGAGTTACGTCTGAATAGTTTAATGTTATACTTACTGATTGCTTTTTTTTTGTCTACATTATCATAATACAATTTAAACTTTCCAATTGACGGAACAAAATAAAAATGTTCTACAATCCATGTATCGTTTATTACATGTCCTGTAAAATTCGTAGTTCCGCTGACATCTTCCAAGATTAGACTATAATATCCTGTTACATAAAAATTATTTTAACCATAAAAGTACAAAATATTTTTTAATAAAATAGTAATGATTAAAAAAATTATTATTATTTCTTTAAAATTGCTACAGTTATGTTAAAACAATAATTATTAATTTAATATTAAAAATTAATTTATGTTATGTATATATA